TACCCCACCTTAACACTTTTCTGAAACAATTTTCCAAGTATTGTCCATTATTTTTTCAAATTAGAAATAATTTAGGCCCATTGGGGAAGAATTTTTAATAAAATGAAAAAGTGCTATCGTAGGGGAAAGCAGGATATGATGCTATATATACACCATTCTATTCTTTAGAAATACACACATAGAGGAAAAAGACAGGAAGGTAAAGGTGATACACCAACAGTGTTGACTGGGACTGTTGCTGGATGGTGGGACTCTGGGCTATTTTTATTTTCATCTCTTTTTTGCTATGTATTCTAATTTTTCTTCTTTGATAATCAAGAAAAAAGTTATTTTTGAAAACATAATTTATCTTTTACTTGCCTGTTCCCCCAGGAGGGTGTGAATACTCCTCAGAGGAAAAAAAAAACACTGCTTGAATCATTCTCGTGTCTCCACCTCCCAGCACAGGGTGGGGCAGACAGACGTGCAGTAAATATGGAATGAATGAATGAATGAATGAATGATTGCAGTTGGGGATTCTATAGCTCAGTGGTTAAGAATAAGAGCTTTGGATTCAGACAGAATTGGGTTGGAGTCTGTTCTGCCTCTTAGCAGCTGTGTGACATGGGGGGCAAGTCATTTACTCTCTCTGAGCCTCTGTTTCTTAATGTATGGAAAGAGTTGAATACTTCCTACCTGATGTGAGGCTGAGTATGAGCACACAGTCTCCGACACAGAGCAGACCCTCCGTAATCTGCAGAGATTGCATCTTCAGCTGGAGGAGATGGGGAGTGGGTCCCCTGCTGCCCCTTCCAAAAATGCTGACTAAATACCCCCGTGTCCTTCTTTACACCCAGCCCACCCTTTCTGTAATCTGGGGGGAACAGAAACAGCACAGGCTTTGAAATCAAACTGGATCTGGCTCCTGGCTCTGGTCCCAACAACTGGGTCACCTAAGGTAAGTCAAATCATCTCTGTTTTGTCCTACAGAATTACAATATTAATAATAATAACCAGCACATACTAACTGCTTACTGTGTGCCACACTCTGTGCTGAGTACTTGTGTGCTGAGAAGTGAGACGATGTAGTGCTTAAGGTTCAGGTGTAAGATTCAAACCACCTGGGTTCAAATATTGGTTGACCCCCTCCTCCAGCTGGATAACCTTGGGCAGGTTACCTAGCCTCTCTGTGCCTTAGTTTCTTCCCTGTATGGGGGAGTTAAGTGTCTACTTAACTGAGTTGCTACGAAGATTACATGAAGTAATAGATGCAAAGGGTTTAGAACAGTGCCTGGCATTCAGAGAGCATGCTATTGATTTATCTTATATAATCATCACATCAGTCATCTGATGTTAAGTACTTTTTATCTCCCAAAGGAAATTGAGGCTCAGAGAGGTGAAGTGACCTGCCCAAAGGTGCACAGCCAGCAAGCTGCAGAACTGGGATTTGAACCCTCATTTGGCTGCTCAGAGCACAGAATTTCGCAAGCCTAGCAAGGTGACTGGCACATTGTAGGTGCCAGCTCCACCCAGGAAGTCAGACTTCCTGCCCAGCCCCAGCCCAGCCTGGGAGCAGCTCCACCCTCACCAACTGCGCCGTGATGGGCTCCGAATCCTTTACAGCTTAAGTCTTGCATCACTGCATCAAGCAGAGCCCTTGCCAGCTTCAGAGAAAAGCCAAATGGGTGTAGCATCAGGTCAAAGAAGCGTCTCGTTTTTATTAGCGTTAATCTAATATGTTGTATTTCCTTGCTGAACTCAGAATAAGTTAATCAAGGACAGTCTGAATTTGTGTTTTCTTACTAAGACCACCTGATTCTAAAGCTGCCTGATGAGAGCTCTGGGGTCCAGACTTCTTTCTTATTTTCTCTTCCTTCTCTCTTTATATTTTATAAAATACATAAGATTTCCAGAGGCAGCAGGGATAGCGTGGTAGAGAAGAAGGCTCAGAAGCTTTGGAGTTAAATGGACCTTGTTTCAAACCTCATTTCTTCCACTCACTATCTGTGTAACCTGGGGTAAGTGACCTCTCCCTGAGTTTTAAATTTTCCCATTTGTAAAATAGGATAATAGTCTCTAACTTTTTGAGTTGTTGTGATAATTACATAAGGCAATGAAGCACTTATAACATGGTCTAGCCAATAATGACCATTCAATAGATGTTTAGCTATTATTTCTACTACTAACAGCAGAAACTATTAGGTGACCTATTATTATAAACCAGGAGGTGTAATAAGCATTTTACATATATCATTCCATGCAAATAACATATGAAAAGCAAGTGGGACAGTGACTGGCATGAAGCAGGTGCTCAAGAAATGGTAATAATTACTCGTGATAGTGGCAGTGGGATTTCATTCTCATAACAAATGGGGGGATGTTGTTATTGTCGTTGGATAGATCAACTGTGCCACTAGGGAATCATATTCTACCAAAGGACCTCGATAAACACAGGCAATTACCATTTACATAAGGGCCATGACAGGGAGTAGAGAAGAGGAACCTTCGATCAAGCCTGGAGGTGGGGTCAGGGACAATTTTCTGGAGGTGAGCTAAGCTGAGATCTGGAGGAAGAGTAGAGCTAAGCCTGTGGAGACACTCCAGGCAGAGGGCTGGCCATTCATTCATTTGTCCATCCAATCACTCATTCATTCAACCAGTAGGTATTGAGCGCCATCTTTGTTCCTGGTGCTGTCCCAGGTGCTGATAGAATGAGGTGACAGGACAGGCACTATCCCTGCCTTCTTGGAGCTGACGGTCTAGTAGTAGAGACAGACTATAAACAAGAAAGCGAGTAAAAACGAGATACTTTCAGATAGCGGTAAGTACCGTGACAAAAATAGAGCTGGGGCATCTGGTCCTGACCAGGCACAAAGTGGTGCTACTTTGGGACAGTCCAGGAAGACCTCTACAGGGTGGCCAGGTTTGCCTGAGGTCCAGGAGGAAGGGAGGAAGGGAGCCATGCAAAGATACGGGGAAGAACACCCCAGGTGGACAGGACTATCTATACAAAGATTCCGAGGTAGGATAAGACTTGGTGTGTTCAATGACCAGCAAGAAGGACAACGGAGAGGAGTGTGTGGTGAGGAGGGGTAGGAAATGTTATAACGTGAGGCTGATTGGTGGGCCATGGTGGGGACTCCGGAATTTATCCTAAGTATGATGGGAGCATATCCTAAGGCGCAGGCTTGTGGCAAACTTTGGGGTTTGCAAAGTAGCAGAAGGAGTTTGGTGTGGCTGGGGTGAGACGAAGCTTACTGATTGGAGAAGGTAGAGAGGGAACCCACATCATGATTTCTCCATCACTGTAGCACCTCACACCTCAACTGTGCCTACAAGATGGGGTCCCTTACCCAGGTAGATTACAAGAATTTCCTGATCATCCCTAAGGATTTACTGTGTGCAGGCAGTGTGCTAAGTGTTTCCATAACCATGTCTCATTGAACTCTCCGGAGAAACCTGGCGGGGAGGGGGTCATTATTCCCATTTTACAGATGACAAGACTGAGGCATGAGAAGGTAAAGCCACTTGCCTGGACCACACGGCTGGTTGGAGTGGACCTGGACTATGAATCCAAGTCCTCCAATCCATTCTGCCACCTCCCACAATCCCCTTCACCTCCCTGTGAAGTTTTCGAAGAGGCAGAATTCTAGGAAATTCCTGAGGGTGAGACGGTAGGGTCTTCTGGAGGCTCCTGAGCCAGGTGCAGGGTGGGACTGAAGCAGGGAAATGTGCTCCCCGGGATGAGTCCCCTCCATTAGTCCTGCTTCCTTCCACGGTGGGAGAAGGGGTTTTTCATAGGTTGAATCACAGCAGAAGCGTGGCACGTGGCAGGGAACACAAGGGCTAGGGAGGTTTTCCTTCTGTCCCGATTGGTCGTAGATCCTCCCAAACCATCTGTCCCAGATTCTGGAAACATCCATTCGTGTTAATCTCACGAACTGCAGGGGTTGTGGGGTCCTCCCCAGAATGCGGGTTAGATGGGGAGACATTGGCTGACTCTGGGAGGTAGTCATAGAGCCAGCATCCAGGCCAGATGGGTCTGATTTGAACTTACCACTTACCAGTTATGCGGCCCTGGAGAAGAGTCTTCACTTCTTCAAGCCTGTTTCCACGTCTGTTAAATGGGCATAAGTTCATATTCCTTGTTTAAGTCCGTGGAGTGTAGTGAAAATCAAATGAGGTAATGCACTTACGAAGAAAAGCCCTTTTTTTTTTCTTTTTTTTGCGGTACGCGGGTCTCTCACTGTTGTGGCCTCTCCCGTTGCGGAGCACAGGCTCCAGACACGCAGGCTCAGCGGCCATGGCTCACGGGCCCAGCCGCTCCGCGGCATGTGGGATCTTCCCGGACCGGGGCACGAACCCGCGTCCCCTGCTTCGGGCAGGTGGACTCTCAACCACTGCGCCACCAGGGAAGCCCAAGAAAAGCCCTTTTGGACTGTGACAGGCTAAGAAAATGCAACGAAATATGCCCAGGGCGATGAGGTTCCCCAAGTGCCATCACTGAGAGATCCAGCAAAGTGAACTGAGAAGCAATGCAGCGGAGCAGAAGCTCTGTCACTAGCTAGCTGTGTAAACTTGGGCTCTCGGTGCCTCAGTTTCCTCACCTTTAAAATGGGAATAACAGCACCTATCACATAGAGTTGTGGTGATAATTCAATGCATGTCAAGTGCTTAGAAAAGTACTTGGCCCTTAGTAAGTGCTCAGTAGATGCTAGGTGTTTTGATTTTCAAGTGTATGTAACAAGGGCTAAAAACGCCTGCAGGGTAGGGTCAGACTTTGGACTCTGACAGATTCAGGGTTCAAATCTAAGCTTGGCTGTTTACAAGCTGTGTGACCTTGGGCAAGCTACTTAATGTCTCTGAGCTTCAATTTTCTCCTCTGTGAAACCTCTTGCATGTATGATGACCGGTTCCTATTAAACACTGAACACTGGCAGCTGTTATTACGTTATTATCATCATCATCCCCCTTCCCTTCTCCTCAGCCACCTTCCAAGCCCAGATGCTCACCCCTCTTACCTCGCTCCTCCTCCTTCTCCCGAATGACCCTCCCCTTGAGGGCCCGGCTCCAGGCTCCCCCGTAGTCCACCAGCTTGGCTCTCTCATTCCCGTCCTTGCCCTTGAACCAGGGTCCATACCTGCGGGCGATGCTCGAGGTTTCACCTGTATCCCGGAAGGCTCTGCCCAGATTTAAGTCACCCAGAAAGGGCAGCTCAGCGCCCTCCACTGGGGCCCCCGCAGCGGGGTTGGCCTGGTTCTGGGAGACAGCAGGCTGACCCACAAAACCAGAGTGAAGGAAGACGAGGCTCCCAGCTGTCAGGTAGAGCACCAGGAAGGTAAAGAAACGTACAGGTTTCCTGCGGAAGTACCGCTGGAATTTGAACCAGAGCTTGGCCATAGCGGGATCATTCCGGACTGGATCGTTTCGGCTCCGCTGGGGGCTGAGGGGTGTGATCCAGGGAGGGAATGGAGGCAGGGCTCTGCTTCTCAAGCTTCCCTTAGGGATGGAGCCCCTGGGGGTCTTCAGTCTTAATCCGTCTGTGAAGGTGACTGCCAAGATCAGAGCAGAAGGGCAAGTCCAATGCCTGGCTGAAGCCAAGAGAATAGAGGACAGAGTTCACCAGCCCTCCCGGAGCCAAGGAGAGCTTCTTTGGGCCATGACAGGGGTTCTGAGGCTCGAGCCACGCAGGAGTTGGTCCCATTTTCCTACATCTTGTTCTTTGTCTCAGCGTTCCCGAAGAACTTTGAAAATAGCCATCGGAGGAGGATTTTGGGAGGCTTCACCAGCAGCTGGAGTTCGCGTCTCGCCCTTTCTCAGTTGCTCAGGCCTATAGGGGCTGGATTATTTCACTGAGGGCCGTGTCTGGCCTCTTCCCCAGCTGGGGACCAAGCTCAGCGTGTCCACCTGGCAGAAACAGAAGCTAGCGGGCTTTCATCCGGTCAAGCATTCGGGCTCAGGGCTGTCACCTGCAAAACAGCACAGGTACAGGCATAAGAAATCTCCTCATAGAGGCCAGAACTCGAAGCGTTCTTGAACATTCTCAAGGGGGGATGCAGAGTCAGAGAGGGGAGGAAACCAGCAGCTCAAAGCACCCAGCAGTGCTGGGTAGAAGCGAATCCTACTGGGTCCTGGTTTGAGGGCAAGCTTTATCTTGGACAAGCACAGGTTCTTATGCCCCACACGTTTGCATATTTGTCAAATATACACTGATTCGTGGGTTACTTCAAGGCCAAAAAGTACTTCCTAGGTCCTTGCTGAACTGTCTGCTGGACCTGGCTGGTACTGAACCAGATCAAATTCATTCATTTTTTTTTCCCAACAAATGTTTAGCGAGCACCTACTGTGTAGCAGGCACTGTCCTAGGTGCTGGAAATAAAGCTGTAAACCAGAGAGACACAGTCCCATCCCTCACAGGGCTCACATTGTAATGGGAGAGATCAAATCCATAGCCCCCCTCTTCTATCCAAGGAAGAAAAGAAGGAAGGAAAGCAGAATTATTTAGCAACATACGCATTCACTCAGTATTTATTTAGTGTCTCTGGTATGCCCTGCTTTGTGCCAAGCCTTCTATGTGTATTAATGATTCTTCCCCATGTTCCTGTGGGAAGTAACTATTTCCCATTTTACAGATGAGGAAACTGAGGACACACAGCTGGTGAGTGGTGGAGGTGGGATTTGAACCCAGGATGGTCCAAACACAAAACCGCAGCTCTGAACCCCTGCCTTTTTGACGCTCTTTCTCCAAGTGATGGTCTGGGCGTCACTTGGGAATCCAGAGACAGCCCCCGAAGCAGCAGCCCATCTCCACTGCCTTCCAATGACCAGCAGTGGCTCATCCTTTGAGGGTCCCTCAGAGTGTGGTCTGAGGAGCATCTGATTCAGAAACACTTGGCAGCCTGGTTAAACATGAAGTTTCCTGACCTCTCTAACCAGAATCTCTGGTTGAAGAGGACACCTACAGGTGTAACAAGGTGCCCTCAGGTGATGGTAATGAGCACAAAGGTTTGAGAACCACGGCTTTATGAGTCAACATTCAGAATCATCAGCCAGGAGGAAAATAGAATCTAAATTAGAAAATAGAAGACTCCACTTGGCCTATGTTGTTTCATTGTACCACCAGCAGGGGGCCTCATGACAATCTTGGCCAGCGCAAAGAATTCAGCTGTCAGCCAATGGGTGATTTGAATGGTAACAGCCCCTACCAATCCAGACAGCAGCATGGGAGTTTAACTGTGGTTCAAGGTAGAGTCCAGTGTCCCTCCATATGCCATCCTATTCATTCAGGAACTAAGTACTGAGCACCTACATGCACCAGCTACTGTTGCAGGCACTTGGAATAATTAAATGAACAAAACAGCCCCAAATCCATGCTCTTGCGGGGTCAATCTGTTCATCCATCCATCCATCCATCCATCCATCCATCCATCCATCATTCTTTAATCTATCCAGCAGTCCACCTACCCATCTGTCAAGTCACAATCTATTCACCCATCCATCATCCATTCTTTAATCTCTCCATCAATTCACCTACCCCTCCATCCATTCATCATTCATCTATTCATTAATCCATCCACCCATCCATCCATCTATCCATTCATCTGAACTGTAGCAGCCCACTCATCCATCCGACTCTCCACCCATCCATTCATCCACCCATTCTTCCATTCATTTAACAACATGTGTTGCTTGCCTACTGTATGTGTGCTTGGAATGCAGAAATAAATAATTCAGAGTTGCTGCTTTCAGAGAACTCAGAGTCTACCGAGGGAGCCAGCAATTTAAACAATCACTATACTAAATCACTATACTACACAGACAATGATAAATCCCATAGTAGATGTATATATGATATAGAGCAGCAATTAATATTAATAGCTAATGTTTACCCAGCACTTATTATGTGCCAGATACTGCTCTAAATGCTTACATACTCTGATTTAATCCTCATAACAATTCAGTGAGGGAGATCTGTATCTACTTTACAGAGGCGAGGAATGAGGCTCAGAATTATTAAGCAACTTGTCCAGGGCCACACAGCTATGAAGTTGCAGCTGGATTGTGAACCGAGGCCCATCTGATTTCACAGCTTGTATTCCTAACCACACGCCTATTCCGGACTTATATCCCTTTGAGAATATGGCGAAAACTACAGACATATGCCCAGAAAAGAGCCCTTGCACATAAGCTCCTAGATTTTGGCTTACAATGTCAAGGGGTTTCTGGACCCCGGGGTAAGAAGCCCTGGAATGCAGGAGCCCAGAGAAGTGAGGGACTGTAGCTGCCCTGAAGGGCTTCTCCCAGGAGGGGTCTTTAAGCTGGCAGGTCTTGCAAGGGGAGTCAGCTTTCTGTGTGAAGGAACAGCAGAAGGACACCTTAGGGAGGAGGAACAGCACACGCGGCCGGTGGAGGCAGCCAAGGAGCTTAGGCCATGGTGAGAATGCAGAGAAGCGCTGGGTGGGGTCAGACCATGGGGAGCCTTGAATGCCAAGCTCAGCAGTCTGGACTGTGCTCTAACTGAAGTTTCACCAGTCTCCTATCAGCTAGAAAACCTCCAGGCAGTGGGTTGTGCCCCACGGTATTTCATGTAGATCACACACATGGCAGAGATTTCTGCAGCTGGGACAGGATGAAAAAAGGCCAGCAGCCCTCAAGGGAATGTGCAGGGGACACCAGCCCTTCCAGAGACAGGCAAGCAAGAGCATGGACTCTGGAGGCAGACCGACCTGGGGTCAAACCCTCCCTCTTCCGCCTGCCACCTATGTGATTGGGGCAAGACACCTCTTCTCACTGACTGAGGCTCCTTTCCTGGGGAGTGGACAATAAGAAGCTTGACACCACCCCCGCCCCGCAAATACTGCCGGCAGGATTGCATTAAAAATTGTAGGAAGACTGCCTGGCACATAGTAGGTGCTCAAGAAAAGCCTCCGGCCACTGTCCCTCTCGTGAGCACATGTGAGCTGCCATCAGAGTCACTTGCTACAGCAGCACATTTGCTGCGGGCATGAAGACAGCAAAGATTTCAGCTGTTCTGTTCCCTGTGGCTTTTTGTCTTTCTGAGGATATTTCTGGGTGTAGTTCTTTTTTGTTGTTCCCTCTCATTCTTTTATATTTCAACACATCTTTCCTCTAAGTGGGTGCCAAATGGGTTTTAAGAGGATAATGAGCTCATTAGAAGCTGGCAGGGAACAGAAAGAGACTGAGGCAGCAGTGGTGGGAAGAGCGAGCGGGGAAAGGGGGGTTCTGACTTGAGTCACCCACACCATCCTGCCAGTGCCAGGAGGTGGGAGGGTCACCTGGACGGAGAACACTCTGGAATCTGAGCCCTATGTAAGTGGGACCCGACCTGTGCTCTCACAGTGTCAGCCCCAGCCTCTGGGACACAGTAGGTCCCCAAGAAACACTAGTGCAGAAAATGAGTGAGAAGACTCAGAGGACTGACCTCTCCCTGGGGCTTAAACCTACACCAATGGGTCCATGCCATGTGCCAAATGCCCCGCGTGACAGCCTAAGGGAGCCGTAAATTCAGGGCGCTGTGGAGGCAGCTCTGTGTGGTCCTGGGGTGCAGGGGCCCCCGCTGAGCCACAGTCCCACTTCCCCCAGGGAACCTTCTCTCTCATGCCCATCCATCATCCTTTCTCTCCTGTCTCTCCCTCTCTCTCTCTCCAAGTCTCTCTCAATCTCTCTTTGCCTCTGTCTGTCCAGACAGAACTGGGGAATGAAGCTGACTGCCATTGGCTGAAAACCTACCATAGGCTGAACACTGTGTTTAAAGGTTTTACAAACATCTTCTCACAAACTCCTCCCTCCTGGCAACCTGCAAGGCAGGTGTGATGGTTCCCCGTACTCCACAGCTTGTGTCTGTCCAACCCTGGGCAGGGGGCATGGCTTGGCCTCCAGAATGCCCCTTCACCTCTCAGTTTCTGTTTGTTCATTACATGCTGGAAGCCAGAATCACATTAACATCCTCTCCCGTCCCCTATGGGTGTGAGAGTCGGGAAGGTGTCTTCACCTCTCTGAGCTGCCGATTTCTCTCTGCAGAGTGGGCGGCCCATAGAATCTCCCTCCCGGCGTTTAGGGAGGACTTGAGGAGATAACCCATAGGGGCGGAGTTGACACTCGCTAAAAGCTGGCTGTCATTGCTTCATATCTCTGTGTTTTACATGAGACCGCCCTCTGAGCCTCAGTTTCCCCATCTGTTGAAAGTGGTGGATGCCCCCTACCCTGCCCCCAGGGTAGTGTGAGCTGCCACGAGGGTGAGGCTGAGAGGCCCCCTTTTGCGGGCATGACAGTATTTGGTTACTGTAGTCTGTGTTTCCAGCCGGAGCCCTGGAGTGTCTAAACACAGCCTATTTTTAGCACCAGAATGAACCTCGGGTGCTGAGTTGCCAAGAGAATGATGGACAGGGCAGAGCTGCCCTGTGGGAAGGGAGACCGGGAGGTGCAACCTGCCCCATGGCTCCCTCCCTGGGAGGGGCCGGAGATTCTGGGGAGCAGGTAAGTCTGGCTAGAAGCCCAGAAGGCTGGGCAGGAGCCGGCTCTCCCTCCACAACTCCCTGAACTTGACTTGAGGGCATAAGCCCAGGCACCAACTGACCCCTTGACCATCTAAACTTGCCAAGAAATAGCTGCTGAGAAACCAGGTTTGTGACAGTTCAGTTTCTTCAGTTTTTCTCCAAG